TGTAGTCCCTCAAATTAAACGTGTAAGTGTTTCACAATATGAACATTTTAGTTGTTGATTCAGAGTTTGGAAATGACCAGCCAACCAAACAAAAACAAACAAAAAAAAACATGTCCGTACAATTTTGGTTGTTGGTGGGAATAAATTTGCTAACTGGTTACCATTGTACCTAAGATAATTTTTTTTATGAATGAATAAAACATAACAAAGAAGGATCAAATTTAACATAAGCCTGTAATTAGTGTATTGATTATAAGGAATTATCTGCAATGTTCTGCTGTGCTTTGATGTTGATATTGTTGAATTGTTGGATTGTATACCTGGATTATTGAGCATGGACTTTGTTGGTTTGCTGTTGATAGTTTTGGCCTTTTATTTTAAGTGGGGTTCTCTTAAAAGTTTATGAACGATGACTATCTTATCTGTTGTAGATAGCCCTTTAGACAACCTCAGTTTGGAGAAATAGTTAGATTTTGACTTGATTGACAAGCTAGTGGTCAGTCTGAGCAGAGCCAAGCTACCAGCTCAGAAAATTCATAGCGGTTTATGAAAACACAATTTTATCAACCTTTACATCACTGCCTGTTTTGCACAGGTTTTTACACAGAATATATAGTTTCTTGCTATCAAATAGTGGAACTACAGCTGGATGTAAAACTTCTGCTGCAGCCCGAGTAACTTCACAAAGAAGTATTGTAATATTTAAATAATTTGTAAAGTAATGTTTACATGCAGTAACATAAAATGTTTGAGTTGTTTTATATCAGCTTTAGTCCACTTTGATCGTAGCGCTGCTCAGTCTAGTTGTTAGCTCGTCAGTCTGGTCAGAAATAACCACTATTGCTCCAAATTGAGGTTTTTCATAAATCTATCTAAAGCAGGTAAGATATTAGTTATTTGTCATAACCTTTTTATAGAACCACACTCGTAAAGGTCAACGTTATATAGGGCGCTTCAGTTTACTGAATTGGTAGTGTGTGTATACAACTAACTAAAACCTGCATCACTTTTTAAAGTGGTCTTAAGCAGTAATTTCAAGTTTTCTGACAATTTTAAAAGTTCTCATTTAGACTTCGGCAGCCTTTTCAAACCTTTTTTTTAGTCCCGTCTTCATTCTGCACCATTTTGAGAAGAATCATATTTTTGTGTGTGTTTTAACACTTTCCCAGAGCTGAGTTGCTCCTGTGTTTATCCATGCTCAACTTCAGCTCTGGCGAAAGGTGATTGTGGGAACTCGCCGTGTTTGCTCATAGGCCTCGTAATGGTTTGAATTGACTTCTGATTGGCCAATTGTGCTGCAGAGCCTTTTTTTAGTTAAATGCCTCTTTGGTTGCAGATCATGAGAGAGAGGGAACAGGCTGCTCCGTTTGCCAAATAAACACGTTTACTGACGACGCTCGTAATGATCTCATTACATTGAGCCAATACACCTGTGTACAAGAGGGGGTGGGGGAGAGATCCAGAAAGGGGCGCCGGGCCAGGGAGGACAAACAAAGCGTGAAATCACTAAATCACACTCATTATTGTGGGATATCAGTAGGGCCAGGATCCTAATGTACCATGAAGAGCATTCACTGCTTAATGGACATTTAGCAAATTTTTTATGCTTTTTATACATTACAGTAAAACACAATTTCATCAACAGCCAAGCCATTTACTGTATTTTTGTTACCTTGTGAAACCTCAGCATGAGCAAATACACAATCAAAGGATTGTGTTTATCATCTCTTAGGGTTTAAGAAGGGTCTGATCCTGTGTATGGTCTTTTACGTGTGTTTCTGAGTTCACTGCGCTGATGTCTAGTTTGACAACAACCAACCTGAACGAGCTTTGCAGGCCTGCCGTGGGATGTAAAACGGCTTATGATGCCTGTCGATCCACCAGAGCAAAATAATCTGCTGTCTGACCTCCTGTCATGTCGCGCCATCAGAATCCCATGCTGAAACAGGAATCCTTTAGTTGTACACCTGACCAAGAACTAATTTCATTGCAGACCTCTCCACCGGAAACATGGGCGAGGGGGTGGAAAGTCTCTGTTACAGCAACTCCACTCTCGTTATTTCACAATTAATGTCAAGCCCCCGTTATTTGTCATTACAAATACATGGCTTCGGCACGGCTGCTGTTGTCGCTGCCATATTCTAATTTGTTCTCCATTATGGAAAACAGCGGCGTCGATTAATTTCACTTTCATGGTTTGTACACACAACAAGTGAGTGCGAGCTGTTGTTGTTTACCAAAAGTCACTGCTCTTGTCCAATTTAAACAGGCTGAACAAAATCACTTCTGAACCATAACATGTTTGGGGAAAAATATTTAAAATGTTGAATATAATATAGTTATAATACCAGACGTATCAATAATCGGTTGTTTATTTTTCAATTTTTTTAATAGTCATTTAGTTTTTATCATTATATGTAATCTATGAACGGTTATTGTCTTCCTACTTTAAAATAAACCATTTTGAGCTTGCTTTTTCTTTGTTCATAGAATGTACCAGAGTCTGTTTAATGTCGATCACATTATTTCACATTTTTAAAATATAGTCGTGCAAAATAAAATTGATTAGGTTGTCCAAACATAAATAAACCAGTTAGGACCGTTCATAGTGTTTAGTTCTCTGTGGAGCTTAAGGTTATCGAGCTCAAGTTGAATATGCTATAAAGTTTTATAAAATTATAAGTAACCAGATGATAAAAAAATATATAAATATATATATTTCATTATATTTTTCATTTTTAGCTGGTTTTATTTGACACAAGGATTTTTTAATTAGTCATGCTGTACACCTTTAAAAATTAATTTAGTTGAAGTTTTAGATTGTACACCTTTGATCTTTTTGGGCATCACGCAGAAAAAGTCCTTTCCTTTTCAAAATGCAGAACAACTAAACTGCAGCTGAATATGCAAACGAAGAACAGGTACAGAAAGTTCTGGCCTCATTTCAGATGCAACTGTTTGCAGTTTGTGCAGACTAAAAGAATCGACGACAACACACAAAAACCAAAACTAAACAGTGACTACTAAAAATGTCACTGTCATTGTTGCGTTACTCAACAGCTTGTTTAATTTAGCTGATTTCTGTATCATTAAAAAAAAACAGCTAGAAGACATTTTTCTTTTGGGAAAACAAATCGAGAAACAAACCAACTTGGTATAAAAGTGTCAGTATTTGTATTTTACATGTGATTTGTCTGAAATGTGTCCTTTTGATGTGGCAAAAGATTACGTTAGAGTTAGTTTTGTTTGCATTCTTGCTTTTAGTTTTTCTTAGAAGAAGATCATTATGACAAACCATAAATCAGCAGCAAATGACCACTTGGTAAAGACTTACCTGTGTTATTAAGTTCCACGCAGCAGACTCTTCTGTTTGAATTCAATGAGTTTACAGCATCAGGACCGCTGTTGCCAACATTTATGTGTATTCACACAACTCCACGTAAAAATGCTCCGTCTTTAAATAGAAAACAACAACAAGGCAACAAACGCCAGCAGAACAATTATTTTATACCATTACGTAAGAATTTATTAGCAATGAATTATATTTTCTAGGCTTTAAATTTAGGTTTCCTTTTTAGTTTTAGCTCTTCTTTTTTTGCTAAAAGTTGTTGCTCCAAAAGAACAATAGTTTGTATAAAGTTGCACATTTATTTTCATATCTTTCTTTACATATAATGTAAAATTAAGCATGGGGAATCCTGGTTTAATTGGCACGGAGTGTCTCTATTATTTTAGTACAATTATGTAATTGAAAAAAAAAGTAACATTTCTTTCTTAAAGCTTGGTCCAAGTGATTTATTTGTATCCGTGTCACATTGCCTATTTTTCCATCGCCTTGTTTTTATTTTTACTTCCTTTTCCTGTGAGTGAAATGATCTCTACTCTCAGCCACAGTCTCCTTCATTACACCTAATAAGGTGTCATATAATTTCATTTCCATGCTTCACTTGTCAGAAAGGCATTCCAATCCTACTCCAATTTTGAGTTTTAATAGATATTAGTCCTTAACACTCTTCTAACAATTAGGCCTCCCAGTTTTGCTCTTAATGAAAATCAGATTAAGACATATAATCTAATTACAGTCTATATTATTCCACCCTCTGATGCACTCTGCCTACTGCTCTGCCTTTTAGACCCTCTTTGGCACAATCATTTATGAAGCCTGACAGTGATCAAGTCCTGAAATATAAATATGATTTTTAATTTTTATTTTTTTACAAATAACGTGGTTCTTTTGTTATTGTAGTAAATGTCAAAAGAAATGTAAAAAATATGGTTAAGGAAAAAAGTTACCGTCATAAATTAATTCAACCTACGGGATGAAATGACCCATTTAGACTTGTGATTTAGAAATGAACTTCTCTCCATCTTCAGTTTTTGTCAGTTTTATCATGACTACATGATTTGGATGGAGTCATGAAGTAGACTCGGACTGATAAATTCTCTGCGTATCTGCGGACTCCGCTTCATGGGGAGTTGGGGGGGGGGGGGGGGGATCCCTTATCAGTGACACTTTTGATGTGTTGAAATACACCAAGTTCAGTTTGAGTGTTGTGTTTTTGTTGCTCATTGGACTCCTTTCATTATGAACCGTGCTTTCTTAATTACTGCCATCAGTACGTAATTATTAGCATAATTAAGAACACCCCCACCCTTCCTAACTCGGTTTGAGCGGTGACGTGTTTTAGAGAGCTGTCGGTCAGATTCTAAACTTGATCAGAGATGAGACGGAAAAGTCTTGAACCGCAATGATTCAATCAGTTTAATCACTTCAGAGAGAAATGATTAACTCCCTCTGCCAGACCACTGGGTTACTCAATAAAAGGAATTACATGAAAATTGATGAGGGTTTTAACTTGCACCCACATGCCCCCCCATCTTTTTATTTGACTCCGTTCAGTAGAATTAAAGATATTTTTAGATAGAAACTGATCTTTAAAGTCTTTCCCCTTTAAATTTTCTCTCTGTTTGGTTTTGTCTTTGTGTGCGGCTTCTCTCAGGTTTTGAAACGGCCAGGTCTTTTGCTCTACATGGTGCCCGTGTGATCATGGCGTGTCGAAACCTGTCCTGGGCCAGCAAGGCCGTTAGCCTCATCCAGCAGGAGTGGGTAAGCATGACCACCCTGATTTCTTTGAGAACTGGAAGGTCTAGAGTCCAGGGATGTATTTTACATTCAGTAAATCCCAAAGGTAAAAATGAGCTGATTCCCGCCTCTCGCTCAGTGACCCCTGGAGAGGCAACAGCTTCCTGCAACCCTGCACAGAACCGTTTGTTTCTGTTGTAATAAAGAAACAAGTCTTGACGGTTTCATATGGAGTGCTTTCTCCCCTTATTTAAGACATTGGTTACACATTGCATTACATGAATACCTTTTGTCTCAAGCAGCAGCTGAACCCCAGACAGAAAAGAACAAGAAGTGTTCAGCTGATCCTGAATCAGCCAAAAATTATTATTATTTTTGTTTCTAAACTAACATTGTTGTACAGTCTGTAAAACGTTGCAGTAGAACTTAATTTGTTTCAGGCCCTGTTTACACAACAACGATCCAATTAAAACAGAATTGTTTCCCATTTCTATTAACACATTTACATGACAACATTCTCTGTTTACACAGCAATGGTAGATGTGGAAAAGGTGTAATTCCCTCACCACGCCACTAGTTGGTGCTATGTTCTTTGAAACTTGAAACTCTAAGTGCGCATGCGTTAAAAAAAACAACAACGTTCTAATGTTCTTTCACGAGGAAACCGCCACAACAAAAGCCCAAGTGATGTCCAAACTGAAAGCAGTCCGGGGAAATTGGACTTATAGGTTTTAACAGTCAGAAGCACAAACTGATATCTGCCATTGTCGATAGTTTCTTCTTCTTTGGATTGTAGGAAGTCGTTATGTTTTGCATCATACTGCACATGAGCCAGGGATTCCCTGACAGAAAAGATCTACTTTTTCTGTTTACACGACAACGGACACTGGGACGTTTATGAACCATTGCACTCTGGAACCCGTTCTCAATTTGTGCCGTTGTCAGAGAAGCAAATGAACAGTTCACACGCAACGAAACTCTTCCATTTTCACCAGCAATTGTTTTCATGTAAACAGGGCCTCGGTGTCAAGAAATAAAAGTAAAATAATTTAAACTTTCAATAGGGGCTAATTAATAAAAAAAAAGTACATCAAAAGTTAAAATTTAAATGACTGTGTTCTTAAAACCTGCCTGTGAAACTCACAGTTCACAGGAACAATAGGCAATCCTGAGTCTCCCTGTGAAGTGGGAGTTAAATAGAGGGCGGGGGAGGAGAAGTGAGAGGGCATCTGATAATTACCTGAGATTATTGCTCTAATATCACTGCACTTGTGACATGTCCCCAGATTTACGAGTTTGGGAAAATAAACAAGCGAAATGTGTGCGCTGGAGCAGAAAGAATAAGTCATTAGCACTGGGTTGATTACAGAGAGCAGGACTTGAAGATGGAGGGGAGTGAGTGCTCAGCGCAGATATGAGAAGAAAGGCTGAGAGGGAGGAAAAGAGGAGGGGGAGGGAGACAAACGCCTTTGAGCGTGAGTAGATCTACAGTGTTTAAACTTGCCAAACTCCCTAATTGAAGTATGCCCCTGGGGCTGTCAGTGCTGCTTTGTTTAAATGAGGAAAAGTTCCCAGGATGAGAATTTGTGGTGCAATCGATTATCAAGCTTCACACCTGCCATAGGTTCATCCTAAATGTAGGAGAATTGGCTCATAACAATAGTGTAGAATTTCTTTTAAGGAATCAACGATTGGTGTAAATGACAATCTTCCACTTTTATATAGAATTAGAATTTTGTGTATGAACATACTCCTTAAATTTAACTGAGCAGAGCTGTGGTATAATTTGAAAAGAGAAGCAGTAAATTAGCATTTCTGAAGCCGTCTCCAGATTTCTTTCTCCGGAATCCCCCTTATATAGGCTAATGAATAAAAGTCACAATATCGGAATAAATCTTTGCCGCAAATTCTCCCCTTTGGCAACATTATTAATAGATTCACGAGAAGAATAGAGAGGAGGATTAATCTTTAAGATGATGGATGGCCTCTGCTTACCTTCCCATGCTCCTATGTTAAGGTCATTTTGATAAGTGAGTATATTTTAGGGTCCTCTGTAGAAAAGGTCACCGTATCTACTTCCAGGTCCCTTACAGAGTTCCGCTCCGGCTGCCAGGAGTGGAGCGGTTGTCCCGATTGTAGGAGACCTCTGACCTCTAACTACCTGCTTACTATGACTTGAATCCCTCCCTTTCTCTAACTCTTTTTCTGTGTCTGACTGAGTGGGCTGGTGTTGGCGCTCAGAGGTGAGAGTGATGGCTCGTTCGAAGTGCGGGGCGGTGCGGTTCAGCACGGCACCGCGTACTGACAGCGGCTATAATAGTGAGGTCGGCGATGGATAATGGCCAGGTCAGAATGGCTAGGAAGGGCAAGGTCAGAAGGCACATCCTTCCCCGCCAATCTCACTGCGTTCTCTTACAGTACGGAACAGAACAATACACCTAATGACAAATTCCTGGAAGAGAAAAATCAGTTTTGTCAGTTTAATGCACCTAATCATCCACGTTGAAGTACTTATTTATTTTTTATCTTTGACAGGATGAACTTTAGTTGCATCTCTTCTCTTCAACAGCTGAGCAGAATGTGGTGCTTTCTCTTCATTTTTTATTTTTATTTATCTTATTTTTTTTCGGAGCTGTGAGTTGAAACCTCTCCAAGAGGCTCATTAGAGGAGTTGAGTGGCAGAGAGGGGATAAACGTTTACCCTGTGATGGTGTTTTACCATTAGCTCAATGCTGGCTGCCTTCACAGGGTTCAAAGGGAGCTGCTTTTATAGGCTGTGATGAAGCAACAGTAAAACCAGAGTATTAAACAGCAGAAGTGTGCTGGGAAAGACTGAGGAGAAGCAAGTCACATGTGCATAAAAACACTGCACACAGACATGCTGCACAAACCAAAATATCTTTCTAAAGACTAAACATTTATGTGATATGTTGGCAGTATTAAAGTGATAGTCCAGCGCTTTTAAAGTGGGATTTTGTGGAAATTTCTGCACAATTAATATCTTGCTTGTTGTAGCTTTTTTTTGTAAAGCCTTAGTTTGAAGAAATAGTTTAGTTTCGATGAGATTATTGAGCTAATGTGGAAAACATGTAATTCTATTTCATGAAAATACAATTTTATAAACCTCTATGTGCAGTCAGTTTTGCTTTGCAAAGCTATTGGTGTTGAATTCTGTAGTTCTTTGCAGATGCAAACAGTGGCAGCAGCAGCTATCTGTAGCACTTCCAGTACAGCCTGAGGAAATGAATGGTAAATGGAATGCACTTACAGGTCCTTCTCAAAAAATTAGCATATTGTGATAAAGGTCATTATTTTCCATAATGTAATGATAAAAATGAAACTTTCATATATTTCAGATTCATTGCACACCAACTGAAATATTTCAGGTCTTTAATTGTTTTAATACTGATGATTATGGCATACAGCTCATGAAAACCCAAAATGCCTGTCCCAAAAAATTAGCATATTTCATCCCACCAATGAAAGACAAGTGTTTTTAATACAAAAAACGCCAACCTTCAAATAATCATGTTCAGTTATGCACTCAATACTTGGTCGGGAATCCTTTTGCATGAATGACTGCTTCAATGCGGCGTGGCATGGAGGCAATCAGCCTGTGGCACTGCTGAGGTGTTATGGAGGCCCAGGATGCTTCGATAGCGGCCTTAAGCTCATCCAGAGTGTTGGGTCTTGCGTCTCTCAACTTTCTCTTCACAATATCCCACAGGTTCTCTATGGGGTTCAGGTCAGGAGAGTTGGCAGGCCAATTGAGCACAGTAATACCATGGTCAGTAAACCATTTACCAGTGGTTTTGGCACTGTGAGCAGGTGCCAGGTTGTGCTGAAAAATGAAATCTTCATCTCCATAAAGCTTTTCAGCAGATGGAAGCATGAAGTGCTCCAAAATCTCCTGATAGCTAGCTGCATTGACCCTGCCCTTGATAAAACACAGTGGACCAACACCAGCAGATGACATGACACCCCAGTGACTGTGGAAACTTGACACTGGACCTCAAGCAATGTGAATTCTGTGTCTCCTCTCTTCCTCCAGACTCTGGGACCTTGATTTCCAAAGGAAATGCAACATTTACTGTAATCAGAGAACATAACTTTGGACCACTCGGCAGCAGTCCCAGGCGAGATGCTTCTGACGCTGTTTCTGGTTCAAGAGTGGCTTGACCTGGGGAATGCACCTGTAGCCCATTTCCTGCACACGCCTGTGCACGGTGGCTCTGGATGTTTCTACTCCAGACTCAGTCCACTGCTTCCGCAGGTCCACCAAGGTCTGGAATCGGCCCTTCTCCACAATCCTCCTCAAGGTCCGGTCACCTCTTCTCGTTGTGCAGCGTTTTCTGCCACACTTTTCCCTTCCCACTGACTTCCCACTGAGGTGCCTTGATACAGCACTCTGGGAACAGCCTATTCATTCAGCAATTTCTTTCTGTGTCTTACCCTCTTGCTTGAGGGTGTCAGTGATGGCCTTCTGGACAGCAGTCAGGTCGGCAGTCTTACCCATGATTGCGGTTTTGAGTAATGAACAAGGCTGGGAGTTTTTAAAAGCCTCAGGAATCTTTTGCAGGTGTTTAGAGTTACGTCGTTGATTCAGATGGTTAGGTTAATAGCTTGTTTAGAGAATCTTTTCATGATATGCTATTTTTTTGGGACAGGCATTTTGGGGTTTCACGAGCTGTATGCCATAATCATTAGTATTAAAACAATTAAAGACCTGAAATATTTCAGTTGGTGTGCAATGAATCTGAAATATATGAAAGTTTCATTTTTATCATTACATTATGGAAAATAATGACCTTTATCACAATATGCTAATTTTTTGAGAAGGACCTGTATATAGCGCCTTTCTATCTTATCAAGACACTCAAAGCTCTTTACACTACAATCTGTGTCCTCATTTACCCATTCATTTAGCACTCTACTAGATCTCTACAAAGAGTAATTAGAGCTTTATCACATCCATACACCAATGGGACTCGCATCGTAGACAATGAGGGGTTCAGTGTCTTACT